TAACCTAGTTCATGATAATTGAAACAGTGAATAATATGTGAAGGTTATTCATATATTAAACAAAATTTTAACACGGGATTCAATCCTAGTTCATGACTGTCGGGAATCGAGGGTGTTCCCCACTCGTCCACCGACTTTTTTTACTTCCTTGTTCAAGTATTCGTCTGTTATTATATGTTCTTTATTGTAAAGATAGAGGCTGCCTGGCCGGCATTCATATTTCTTGAAAATAAATATATTTTTTAAAAAGATTTACTGGCCGAAGTATCTTTATTTTCAAGAAATATTCTTTATCCTTTTGGTTAATTTTTTTCTGAGATTTTTCGCTGAATATTAAAGAATGTAATTTCCGTATACATGATTAGGTATACGCGCTCTGTAATGAAAAAGGATTTTTTTAAAATAAGCATACTTGTTATTTTATTATATTTTAGCAAAGTATTTTATTATATTCCATGTATAAAAGTCGGTGGACGAGTAGGTAACACCCTCGATTCCCGACAGTCATGATCCGGAATCGAATCCCGCGTTAACATTTGTTTAATAAGTGAATAACCTTCACATATTATTCACTGTTACAATTATCATAAACTAGGTTGTTCTTGTTGAGCGGTACCTAATAAAGTGATTTTGGAATTGAATGAATTGAATTGAATATTTCATGTACAGATTATTTTTTTTTTTTAATATTTATATTATTTATATTTTGCTACTCTGGAATTTTCCCTCAGTCAATCCGGCCTAACCTACCTCTTCCCTGACAGAGATCCTGTCCCTAGCCTCTCCAGCCTGGTCATAGCGGTTTTATATATTCCGCTTTACGCGGCCATCGGGGCTCAAAAATCATTTATTTTGGTTAGCAGCCCCGTAAATAAAGATATTTCCGAATCTTCCCTCATTGCTTTTATCTTGTATCTTATAATTATTGATTATGTTTGTTGTGCGTCTTAAATAAATTGCCGTGTCATTCTGAATTTTGTCTTATTTATTTTTCTACGCTACAATGTTGTAACATAGAATATTAAGAAAGAACAACTTTTCATGTTATCAAAGCAATTCATTTTTTATCAAAACAGAAAAAGAAATCATTTTAATGCCATCTATCGTTAAAATTTGTAACTATTAATATTTAGTAGATATTAACTCCGCCATTGCCGGTTCCAAGCCCGGATGTAAAAGCAGTAACAAGCTCGTTAAAAAACCTGGGTTGGCCTGACTGATAGTAGCCTGTAAGGGCTCCTATCCTTGGGTTACAGGATAATCAGCAGTTCTCCATGTTAGGAGAGGCTGCACAAGGTTCCTCATGTTAGAGGCGGCCATTTAATACCAGGTCAAAGTCCAAGTTACACCTCTCTGTAGGTGACCTCGGGGAAATGCTGGATAAAACCAGCGCTTTAACGTAACTGGCATATAACCTATATGGAGTCGTGCATAACATACCTACGTATCTAACTCCTATGGTACTCCCCAAATCTTGGACTTGGTGATAGGATAAGAAAAAAAAAGCAATATATTTTTCTTATGAAATTTATTATCACTTTACAGACTTTACTACAATGATAAAAAGTTATTAAATGAGAGAGTTTGGCTTATCAATGGTGAACCCTCTCAGCGGTTTCGGCAAAAAAAAAAAATCTTCAGACAAGAAAAAAAGATATATATGTGTAACCTAGATTACTGAAGAGTATTGTAAATATGATGATCTAGGTTGCTCTTTTTTTTTTTTTTTTTTTTTAGCGGCACATATAATACAGTTATTTTGGAACTTAAATTCCTGGAGATCACTAACTATACTCAGGAAGTCTAGCTCACCAGTATGGACTAGTGCAGGGGTTGGTAAACTGCGGCTCTTTGGATGTGAAGCTTTAAATAGTTCCATATATAAATATTATTTAGGCGAGTACTATTTATTGTCGACAAGAAAAAAATGTTGTGGTTCTTTAAAAACTTTGAAATTTTGTAAATTGTAATTTTTGACTCTTTTCCAACTCTAGACCCCTGGACAAGTTGTTGTTGTCGTGTCCAATGAAGAGCCTTAGATATCTCCGTACATCTCTATCACAGCAATGTTCTCTATCTTGGGTGTGTAAAGTTCTGAATCCATATAAAATTTCTATTGTTTTTGTTGTGGTGTCCAATGAAGAGCCTCAGATGTCCCCGTGCATCTCTATCACAGCAGTCGCAATGTCCACTATCTTGGGTGTGTAAAGTTCTGGGTCCATGTTTCTGCAAGGCTTCCCCCATCGCTGGACATAAGAATATGTAGGTAGGTGTTAGTTCCACACTAGGACAGAAATACAACCTGGACTAGTGCTAAGTACTTTTAATCACGTCTTGAGTGGATTGCTGAGTTGAACCAGTTGACCAGGAAGTTCCATGCTTAGATAAAAAGTCTGGAAGGCTAACCATAGATATAGGATTGGGGTGGGTCAGTCTAAACACGATAGCTATTTGCATCCTTTGTCTCAGGAAAGCCGAGCAGCGAAAAAAAAAAAAAAAGGGGGTAGAGACATCCGGGTTTGAACCGTAGACCTTCCGTTCTTCAGTCGAATGCTCAACCACTGAGCTATAACCTCATCCTTATTTACATAAAAATTAAAGAGAAGCAAAGGATTTAGGAGTGACAAAATATCGTAATTAATATTCTATAGATAAGATAATAAATGTGTTATGCAACAATATTTCAACGTAAATTTCAGAAATTCTTAAATTAATTTGCATATTGTGTCTATTATTAAATTAAATTTAATTGCCATCTATCGTTAAAATTTTACACAAATAAATTTACTGCGTTTCTTTTAATATATCATCAAATATTATCTCTACAAACCTTACTGCAATGATCCGCCAAGCCCTCTCAATCAATAACTCATATCATTGCAGTAAGGTCTGTAGAGATAATATTTGATGATATTTAAAAGAAACGCAGTAAATTTATTTGTGTAAAATTATATTGTGTCTATATTATCCCTAGCCGGGATATCGCGTTTTGTGTTTTGAAATAAATAAATAATGTCTATAAGAATATACACACACACAAACCTTTATTAAGACACACAGGTCTTACAGAGGATTATCCTTGGGGTTACAAGACGGAGAAGCCTATGAAAGTGGGAAATATACAAAGGGGTAAAAATGGAGAAAGATTATATACACATGATAAATATATACAGATTATTATTTGAATGATCCTATGGAAAATAAGAATATGGATGGAAGAAGTGGAGAGCGAAAAGAGGAAAAAAAACAGGTATTTACATATGGAACATACATATAATGGAACAAGTCAATTTAAGCTCTTCTGCTCACACAGCACAGGTGGACCATGGCTTTTTTCAAGAAATTTTTATGAGATTTTCCAGGAAAATCCGAGTGTTCAGAGTTGTGTCTATAAGAATGTACAATTTTTTTTTTTTGTTTAAACTAATATTTATAAATTGAGGTAGATATAAGGGTTTTTGCATATTTACAAACTCACTTCTTGATGACCATGTAATTAAGCATATAGCAGTTTTTAGAGATAAAAAAAAAGCTAATTCATCAACAATAAAGATAAGCAAAATTCGTTTGTATAGTTGCATACACCTATATGCATATACATATATTTACAAACTCACTTATTGATGACCATGTAATTAAGCATATAGCAGTTTTTAGAGATAAAAAAAAAGCTAATTCATCAACAATAAAGATAAGCAAAATTCGTTTGTATAGTTGCATACACCTACACTCATGGACAAAACTTAAGGAAGTTGTACCTTTTAGCATATATATCGGGATTCAGATAATAACTCTGAAAGATATTACAGTGACCTTTATTGAAGACACACGAGATAACCAAGTGTGAACAAAATTATCTCTGTCTCTTAAAAAAAAAAAAAATAGACGACCGGCAACATTAAAGACTTTTCCACTTTATTAAGTTTTGTCCATGAGTGTATATCGAAGATAAAAAGAGCACATAAATAGAAAACACACACACACACACACACACACAAAAGCCTTTATTAAGACACACAGGTCTTACAGAGGATTCTCCTTGGGGTTACAAAACGGAGA